GCTGTGGCTCAAGTGGTAGAGTGCTAGTCTTGAGCTGAAGAGCTGAGGGACAGCACCCAGGCCCAGAGTTCAGGCCCCATGACCAGACCCCCCCCCCAAAAAAAAGATGAGGTTAAGCAAAATGAACCCCAAGATAGGGACACAAGAGGTTTTATCTTTCTTACAGTTGTTTTTAATGTATTTATAATATACTATGTGATTTTTTTGTTTCTTTGGTATGTTCTTCCCCTATGTATAACCCCTGTTTTCACTGTATTTGATTCTGGTGCCCTGCATCTTGTATACACATTTTTCTAATTTGAGAAGGGGAAGGGAAATAACAAAATGCTGAAATAATGGTACAAGTTAACCCATTATAACAATGAGATGTACAAGACACTATATTGAAAACGAACTTTACAAACGGGGGCAGAGGGGGGAGGGGGAGGTGAGGAGTGAAGGGATGGTAGCAGAAAAACAAAGGAGGGGGTAACAATGCTTGACAGGAAATATACTCATGACCTTACTCATGTAACTGTAACCCCTCTGCACAGTATCTTTACAATTAGATAGATAGATAGATAAATAGATAGATAGATAGATAGATAGACAGACAGATAGATATAAATAATAGAATATAATCCAAAAGAGATAAAGGTTGCCCTTGCCCTATCCTGACTCAACCAACAAGAGACTAATGGGTGGATCCTGGCTCAGTTTCCAAACCTTCCTACCTCTGTCAATTGGCCACATTCCAACTCATTTAGGACCAATTATCTCTTTGTGTCTCATGAGGGAGGAGAGGTCTCTCCATTGACAGAAGAAAAGATAATTTCATTCATTCTACTAAGTAAAAAGCTATTCTCAGCAAAACTTTCTCTAATGTTACATTCTCTCACCTGGTAGAAACAAGCTTCTATGCAGTCCCCCAAACCCAGCTTTTCTAGCTTTTGCTCTTTTAGAAGACTGTGAAAGAAGCTGGGCCCAGTGGCCTATAATCCTAGTTACTCAGGAGGCTGAGGTCTAAGGATTACAATTCGAAGCCAGCCTGGAGAGGAAAGTTGATGAGACTTGTATCTCCAATTAACCACCAAAAAGCCAGAAGTAGAGCTGTGGCTCACATGGTAGAGTGCTAGGCTTGAACAAAAGAAGCTCAAAGACAGCACTTAGGCTCTGAGTTCAAGCCCCAGGACCAGCAAAAAAAAAATCAAAAACAACAAAAAACATGAGCCTTAAAATTGACAGGCTGTGGTGTTGCTCAGAGAGCAAATTATAATTTTTAATGTTTTAGTAGGATGCTGGGGACTGTAGACCAAGAAATACTTGTGGAACATCTACTCCAAAGCCATTAGTGGCTATTAAGTCCCCTCTATGATCTTTTCCGAAATCTGATGAAGTTTATTTATATAACATCCCTCATTTTTCCTCAATAAGTATCTCTTGATTAAATACAACAGCAAGCAAGGGAATTGGATTTAGACTCTATGTCAGGTTCCTGGGAGGCAGAGAGGCCAGCCTCTGAGTCTGGGGTCTGTGTGCCCCAGACTTTTATCCAACACAGTGCTATTTGATTCCAGCATGCCCGCCTCCATTTTTCTGCAACCCGTCTCCTTTTATGCTCTTCTGAAGAGTTTTAAACAACCACAGAGAACCAATGTACCTTTCCATCTGCATTAATCACGCAAAAGGTAGAGGGTGTCTACGATTAAAAGTGTCTAATATTGAAGTTTTATTATCTTCTCCCCCCTTTCTTTGTTTTGATCATAGGAGTCCAAGGACAGAAGGGAACAAAAGGAGAATCGGGAGTCCCAGGTAAAGGACTGGCTTCGTTTTAATTTCTCAGAATGATGACGGGGAGGCCTGCGTGCCTGGCTGCTGACTTTGAGAGTGCAGCAGTGACCTTCTTCCTAAAGTTAGGTTGAGACTCCGGGGCTCTGTGGTCCAAGCCTCTAATCTTCCCTAGAAAATCAGAGGATGACAGGAACTCACTTCCCAAGGAACGGAGGATTCAAGCTAGGAATGGGGGTGGCAAAGGCTGAATAAAGATGTCAGGATTGCTGAAGCTGTAAGTGGTGATTTGGCTGTGTCCTTCCATGGAGGTGGATATCCCCATCTCTGCCCTTCTTCTCATGCCCACAGCCCCTACTCTCCTCCTCCTGCTATTTCTCCCTAGGACTTCATCATCATCATCATCATCACTATTATTATTTCTATTGTTCCCATCCTAGACTCTTCAGCCCTAAGCTTAGCACTTACTATGCAGCATTTCTATCTTCTCAAACAGTCCAGCCTGAACTTCACTATTTTAAGCAATATTTATTACTGTCATGAAACACTAGAGGTAGGCCATTTTATTAAACAAAGAGGTGATTGAGTTCAGTGGTTCTGAGAATTCAAGGGCATTGTGCTGGCTTCTGATCAGCCGTGGTGAAGGCTGGTGGTGAATAGCACCACAATGGTGAGAATAGACATAAGAAGGGAGAGATCACATCACCAGAAGAAGCCAGAGGCTGAGGTCCCTTCCCTACCTCCACAGGCCGCGCAGTGCCCAGGCAGCCTCAGGACTTCCCGCTAGGCTCCTCTTCTCCAAGGCCCCCACCCCTTCCACCTCACCACACTGAAGATCAAATCAAGCTCCCAATATACAAACCCTGTGGGACACACTCAAACTGCATTTTAACCACATTAAGTGCTAAAGCAAGTTTCTAGAGCAATTTTGCTTCCACATGACCTGTATATTCCGCAACTTGAGTTTACTAAAAGAGACATGGAGGCTTACCAATATTCTAGTAAATTCTTCTAGAATAGCTAGAACTTCCACAAAATTAATCTGCTAAAGAATCCTGGAGCTCTGTTGGCCATTTCCACCTGCAAAATTGCAATAAGTATTAACGTGGGAGTTGGGGATGGATGGAAGATACTGGTTGGGTGTTTGAACAACCCACCCTGGGGGATCTGGTAGTTGTGGGTCAGTCACTCAATAACCAGCAAGGCCTTTCTAGCTCTCAAGAAGCTGAGACCTGAGGATTTGGTTCAAAGCCAGCCAGACAGGCAAGTCCATGAGACTTTTACCTCCAATGAATCACCAGAACACTAGAAGTAGCACTGTGGCTCAAAGTGGTAGATTGCTAGCCTTGAGCAGAAGAGCTCAGGGAGACAGCACCCAGGCCCTGAATTCAAGCCCCACAACTGACAAAAATAAAAGCAAGCAGAGCACACATATTGATATATATGGGTTGGACTTTTTCTTCTTAGGCTCGATAGGCATCAAGGGAGAAATGGGAAGGCCTGGATTACAAGGCCCCAAAGGAGCACCTGGACCAGCCGGCCAGAAGGGAGACCCCGGACAGAAAGGTAAGGCTTTGGGCATGTATTTCTCTGGAGACAGGCTGTGTTTTACAGGAGAGGGTGTCCAGAAATCCAAACAGGTGGGAATTTGCTTCTTCAGTTGTTATTTGCCAGGGATGATCAAGAGCACGGAAGACAGCATGAACAAGGAAGAGCACACCTTCATCCGTGCCCTGCCGTCCCCCCTCCAGGCAATATCCGCAACACACTTGATCTTTCCATGAAGATGTCCTATCTTATACCATGTTGTTGAGCTGGCAACTATCCCTCATGAAGTCAGGCATTGGTAGCTTATGCCTGTCATCCTAGTTACTCAAGAGATGTGGAGGATCACAGTTCAAAGCCAGCCCAGGCAGAAAAATCCATGAGACACCATCTCCAAAGTAACCAGCAGAAAGCTGCAGGCTTTCTAGACCAAGGGACATTCATTTCCTATAATGCCAAGTGTCAGGCAGAGCTGCAGTAGATATGCTTGACCTCTCATCCCTCCATCTTCCTGCTCCTGAGGGCAAAGGAGGGTGATCAGGCCATGGATGGTTTTCTCTCAAGTTGTGTGGGTTTTCTCCTCACTGCAGGATCTTCTGGGCAGCAAGGAGAAAAAGGAGCAAAAGGTCAAGCAGGTAAGGAACATTTCTGTTTCTTTTCATTTGCACTTTAGAGCCAATTCTGTTTTGGAAAAGTTAGAGTGTTGGGGTAGGGGGAGAGCTTAGTTCCCAAAGCAGTTCCTCACCTTTGGGAAAAGCACTGGACTCCTGTCTTAAACAAGCATGCCCAGCCGGGCACCAGTAGCTCACACCTGTAATCCTAGCTACTCAGGAGGCTGAGATCTGAGGATCACGGTCCAAAGCTAACCCGGGCAGGAAAGTCTGTGAGACTCTTATCTCCAATAAACCACTAGAAAACCAGAAGTGGCGCTGTGGCTCAAGTAGTAGAGCACTCGCCTTGAGCTGAAGAGTGCAGGAACAGTGCCCAGGCCCAGATTTCAAACCCCCGGACTGACAAACAAACAAACAAAAACCAAGTATGCCCATGGCACAGTCTAAGGGCAATAGCCTTCCTCCTATCTCCCACCTCCTTTCTCCCTTCCCTTCCTTTTTCACTCCCTCCTTTCCTTTCTCCTTCCACCCCTTCCTCTCTTCATCTCTTCTACCACTCTTTCCTGCTTTCCTCCCTTCCCTGTTTTCACCTCTTTGCTCTCCACAACCCACCCAGCAAGTTATGCTCAATGGGAACTGCAAGACCAGATGCACACAGACCCTTGGCTCCTGTTGAATGGTGCTCACAGGCCCAAATGTATGTAGGCTGCAGTCAGGTTGTGTTAGTGTCAATCAGCCATTGGGATTCATACAGACCTGACAGGTGAGCTGGAAGCCGCCTTTTCTATAGCTGCAGAAACTAGAAACTAAGCAAGAAGGATGGGCACCGGCCGTCACCTGGGTTTTTCTCATCTATCCCTCACATGTGTTCTTGTGTAGGCACATCTTTGGCATATGCCAGGATTGTGGGCAGTTATAACCGAGGCCGAGCTGAAGTTTACTATAACAATGTCTGGGGGACGATCTGTGATGATGGCTGGGATAATTCAGATGCCACTGTCTTCTGCCGCATGCTGGGATTCAGCAGGGGTGTGGCCCTGTCCACTTTTGGAGGTGGTAAGTGGCTAGAACCCCTGTAAGACCTCTTCCCTGGAAGTACCGAGGTGGTGGGTTGACACCCTTTGGTAGCAGGTGTGGCTAGGGTTAAAAAAAAAGTATTGATTCAAGCAACTGAGAAATTCTGTAGCTCCAGGCTCTGGGCTTAGTCTTTTCAGCTTGGTCATCCCAGGGGAAAGATGTCATCTTGTCACCAGCAGTGACAGTGAAGACCTCACAGGGCTCTGGGTGGTCTGGCTTCAGTCTGGCCGGGGTCAGTCTCTATCCTGTCTTGGGATCAAGGGTGTTGGCTGGTTGGGGACAGGACTGGTTTCCACAGAAGGAGGAAAAGACAGAGGGCAGACCAGAGTCTAAAGCCCTGGGCTGCCTGGTCATCTTGGCTGGGATCACCGTTAAAGACTAGAGGAAGGAAAAAGAAAAGAAATTTCAGCATGGACTTACCAGACTCAATCTGGAAGTTGGAAGCATGGCTTAAACAATAGAAATCCTGCCTAGCTAACTTGAAACCCTGAGTTCGAACCCAACCACTATCAAAAAACAAAAATTAATTAATTATTTAATATCAATTTGGGGAAGATATGCAGAAGTGCTAAAGCTCAATTTATATTTGTCCCTTTTTTCTCCCTTTCAACCAGCAAAAGACTTAAATCGCAAACTGGGCCCCTTTCCCCAGTCATAAGAGCCTCCACCCCCAGATGCCCACTCCCTTACCCACTCCAAAACACATTTTTTTCTTGAATTGAGATCTAGTTGGACTCAAAAAGACACTCAAATGCATGTTTTACTCAAGTAAAGACATTGGTGTATAACTATAATCAAATAACCTGCTTTCAATTATATCAGAGGAAGAGCTGGGAGAGGTGTAGGGATCTCAGGGGAGAAAAAGGAAGATATAACAGCGAGCTAGCAGGCAGGAACCTTTTCTAGAGTGTGTATAAAGTGTTAAATATTTGGATAGGAACCAGGTGTGGGAGTGCATACCTATAATTCCAACTATCCAGGAGGCAGAGATGGACAAAATTTATGCAGACTGTATCCAAAAAAAAACAAACTAAAATAATGAAAAAAGGCTAGGAAGGTGGGTCAAGTGGTAGAGAACTTGCCTAGCAAATGTAAGGCCAAGTTCAAGCCACAGTTCTGCCAACAACAATTTAAAAAGATACATATTTGGATAAGCCTTTTACTCAAAGATAAAGAATAGAGAGAAATCAGAGTCCTTCTAAGACGCCACACTAACCTTCAGCATATTCGTCTGAGTAAATATGAGAGACCCCACAGTGCAGCCCGGGCAGAAACCTCCAGATGCAACCCTGACTCCAATCCTGTCTTCTCTTCCCCCTTGCTCCTCTAGGTTCTGGGCAGATCTGGCTAGATGATGTTGCTTGCACAGGGTCAGAGGTGAATCTATGGAGCTGCAACAAGAGTAACTGGGGCAGCCACAACTGCCAGCACAGCGAGGATGCAGGCGTGCAGTGCAGCTGAGGTCACCGACATGTCACCCAAGTGTCCCTGGGCTCCACCCACATGAAGAAGGAAGGAACCAGCTCTCTGCAGTTTCCCTGAGACTGGCTGGGCAGCTTCTATAGAAGGACCATTAATAAAGCTCACAGTTGTACCTGTTGTTGGCCGTGGCTACTAACGAGTACCTCCATCCCCATCAGTCTGCCTTCCTATTCACCCTGTTCTCCTAGGCCACTGAGAGCCAGTCTCAGCTCACAGAGCCAGTCATTTTCTCAGTCTAGGAGTATACTCCATCCAGCAGGGGGCAGGCATCACATTGTTAGCTGGGCAGTAGATGAAGAGGTTGGCCCATGGGTGTCACGGTGTGGCAACACTGTGGATAAATGTGAATTGTACCTTTCAGGCTGAAGATTCGTTCCTGGTAGGAGCTCCCTAACAACAGGGGCCTTTGTTGGTTTTATCTTCCTAGCTGGGGGCTCAGTAAATATTACTGACTAAATGATCAGCTTAAACCAACTAGATACAGAGGGCTTGTCCTGTCTGAGCAGCCTAGCCCCTATCTCTGGGACCCACATACTCTCTTTGGGGATGTGTAATCTCACCTACTCTCCTTCCCTTCTTCCCTTTCTTCCTCCTTTCTTCTTTTTCACCCTTCTCTCCCGTTTCCATGAGAGCGGGGAGTTGGAAGAGTGAGTTGATATCACTTCCTCTTGGCAGGTGAGGGAACGCAACCTCATCTGATTTGGAAAACTGCCCAGGGGCTATTGCAAATGGCAGATCCTAGGCGAAGGTGCAAGTGGAAGCATCCAGAGGCAGAGTAACCAAAGTATGTGGCTACTGCTCAGCACATAGAGGCAGAGAGTCTTCCCACTGGGACATAGGGGGCTCTTATAAGAGTTTAGCCAACGACCCAGGACCAGAAATATTTTCAGAAGCCAAAGCTGTAGGATCCCACACCAGAGCCAGGAGGGAGATTGGCAGGTTTCCACCCTTGAAGGAAGGACAGAAGCTGGTTTTGATCATCTGGCAGCGCCGCACAGTGATGCCCTTTACCTGACACAGGGAATGGGGAGTGGAAAGTTCAGAAAGGAGGGAAGACATCCAAAGCCCTGTCAGGGCTCCTGGATTCATTGTGTATTTGGCAAATAATGTGCCGTGAAGGCATCTTATTAGCACTAGCTTTCTTCTGAAACCTTGGTGCCTGTTCCAAAATGATTTTTGCTCCCCAAAAGGCTATGGCAGCCACTGCCCCCAAACAATGCCATCCTATCATCAGATCTCAACACTGACTTCCTAAACCCCTCTGCAAAGACAGAGTCAGGAAAACAGAGTACACAGCAAAAATGATTTTCCAAGTTTTTCATCTAGCTTGAGCAGAACAAACAGGAAGGGCCTGTGAGGGACTTCTCCCCGGCCCCATAATATATATCAAAAATGATGGGAAAGGAAAGTGAGAGGGGAAAAAATCAAGGGAAGGTCTCTCCCTGAACTTTCTGCCCCAGTTCCCTTATCCTCTTTTCTGATCCTAGAATCCCTTCTGAATGATAGATGGGGTTAGGGGGCCCTCTTCCCATTAAAGACCCATTCCTGCCTGGAGAAGCCCCTGCCTCATCTCTTGGGATGCCAACTTAGACCCTACAAACATACCTCGCTCCTGAAGCTAGAATGTGAGCATGCTCAGAAGCACATTTATGACAGTGCTGTTGGATGCCAACACCTCCAGCAAGCTCCAGCAAGCCAGTTAGACATCTCCCTTGTAGTTTCAGCATCTCTTGCTCTTTTATTCACTGTGTGCTTATTGAACCTCAGCTTCAGAAGAGGCTCAGTCCAGCCCTGTCTTCCTGTGTTTCCCTCAGACAATTCCACACACTAGGTAATTCAGAAGGATTTCCAAGCTGGGTGCCCATGACTAGCACCAGTAATCTTAGCTACTCTGGAGGCTGAGATCTGAGGATTGCAGTTCTAAGCCAGCCTCAGCAGGAAAGACTTTGAGACTCTTATCTCCAATTAACCACTGAAAGGTTGGAAATGGAGCTATGGTTCCATTTCTAAGGGAGATTGCTCAAACCCTGAGTTCAAATCCCAGTATTGGCACACACACAAAAAAATCCAAATGAGCATCCTGAATGAATGATTGATCAAGTGAACAAATGATGGAATGAATGAATGCTATACCCAGCCTTTTGCATCTCTGGACTAAGATTTCTGCCCAGCCATTCCCCCCTCACTCCTTAGTATTTTCTCTAAAACTCATACATGGTGGAATTCGTGTCAGTGGTGTGTTTTATGTACCAAGTCCAGTCCCAGGGTGGGCCTTGCTATCAGGATGCTCTCCATGTGACCAAAAAGGTCCTACTCTAGCTTTCTGCAGAGACAAATTCAATCCTGTGTCTTTCGTATTTTAAAGTCAGCTCTCTTGAAATATTATGGGGGCCCAAGTACATTGAATATGTCCCATTTCCTGCGGTCTCAACAGCCCCGATAAGCTATGAACCCCCAACCCGAGCAGACAGGAACACTACAGTAGGGTTGGCTCCTGCCTTCATTTTCTCTCTTGTCCCAATGATGAACTTAGCAATGTTCAAGGCCACCAGAGAAATCCCCATGCCTTTTACCTATGTACCCCAGTCCCCTGTGCTTACCCAGGGACCCAGTTCACTCCTTGCTCCCAACTTACTTCAGCTCCTAATGGGGATCCTGCTCCTTCCCCATCCCCACCATGGTTCTCTCAGTGTGCAGAGGTTGGATCTCCAGGATCTGTGAGTTTCATGGACATTACTGTCCTCTCATGTGGCCATACAGGACTGGTCACCCCGTTTAAGATAAAAGAATACAAGGACATCAGGTCACACAAATAGCAAACCGAGTCTCTCAGAGGTTCAGTGATGTGAAGTATTCTCTTCATAAAGTCTTGGCTTTTCCTATCCACAGGCTCAGCATCCACGAATTCAACCAATCATGGATCAAAAACATTTGTGCCAGGAGCCTGTGGCTCATGCCTATAAATCCTAGTCAGGAGGCTGAGATTGAAGATTGTGCTTTGAAGCTAGCCTGGGCAAGAAAGTCCATGAGACTCTTCCATCCAGTTAACCACAGAAAAATCCAGAAGTGGAGGTGTGTCTCAAGTGGCACAGCAGTCATCTTGAACAAAAATCCCAGGGGTAGCACTAAGGCCCTGAATTCAACCTTAGAAAGGAAGGAGAGGCGTTGTTCATGATGTCTCTGCCAGGCAGTCCTCTTAGGAGTGTCCAAAACCATAGCAGGCCCACTTCCTGCTCTCCAGTTCTGTGTCCACCTGGACTGAAGGAAACTAGGCGAAATCAACACAGTGAGAACCTTATCTGCCAGGGAGCTGGGCTGGAGCAGGAAACTGGGCGGACCCTCCCCATGGCAGGGGTGTAAGTCTCTCTCAAGTCTCATCTGCTGAGATGCGCTGTGCCCTGGCTGTGGCCTTCAGGGCTAGTGCCAGCACTGAGGCTGAGCGGGCAGGAAGGAGCAGCAGGACCCTGAGGGACCCTTATTCTCCCCTACTGCTATTCCTACAAGAAACTTCCTAGTTCCTGGCCCCACAGAACCGCTGTGCCTATAGACAGGCCTTTGCACCTATCTTTGCCTCCTATCTATGCCAGGCTAGGAAGGAGAGAGGGTCTGGAATTGGCTGGGATGTGTGCGATAGAGGGGTGCCAAGATCAAAGATGACAGTCAAAGGTGGAGGGAGCAGGGTGGTACAGACATCCTCACGCTGCCATTAGACATGAAGTCACAACTAACTTCTCACAGACAGCCCCACAGGGCTATCTGGTGTTTGTGGGAGAAGCCAGGCCTCAGTTCTGTATTTGGTCCTCCACAGGCCCCACCCAGTCTGCCCAGGAAGTTCTTCTGCCTTGGCTACCGGTGGCTTTGGAGGATGTTGCTGGAAAAGCTGGGACCCAAAAATAGAATGGAAGAAAGACAGCCTTTTCAGTAACTGGTGCTGGCAAAATTGGTTAACAACTTGTAGAAAACTAAAGCTAGATCCTTATATATCACCCTGCACCAGAATCAACTCCAAATGGATCAAAGACCTCGGAGTCAAA